TGGGGGGGCTTTTTGGATACATTTTTGAGTGCTTAATTTATTTTACAGACAACATTTTTTGGTTGATTCATTCACTTTGTTATTGGAAAGCATCGCAAAAATTCAAATGTATTTCAAATGCGAAAGACAGCTCTTTTTTCCCGGCAAAAATAAAAATGTGTCGATTGTTGGAATTCCTCGAAAATATCCGTTGCGTCATATCTCTTTCCTGATGAATCTAAATTAACTAGATATTTAAAATGTCGGAGCCAACATGTACAGATTAATTCCATATTTTTTGCTGTTGTGCCCCAAACCCTTATATAAGATGACGGTAGCTCCTATATCGATGTTTAGATATGTGTATACACATATATCCAGGAGCCCTACTGAAGATAGACCTTGGACTACTCTTTAAAACATACTCTATCAGTTCATGACAGGGAAAAATGAATGTATCTAACTACATGTATCTATGATGTGAAATGACAAAATCAACTGTTAGAAAAGATGTTGAAACACACTAACATGTGGTTGCACATTCAACAAAAATGGTAATAAATCAGTGTACAGTATGCAAAAAGAAGATTTAAACAATCCACACTGTGTACAATAAATGTCTCATCATATAAACATCTTACATATGTACCACATTGTACAATGATAAATACAAACCTTAATTATTACAATTGAACCTCACTCCGTATACTGTGGTTACATCTTTTTCTGAAGTCCTATTTGAGATGTAAATGACAAACGGGCACTGTCACATACATTATGATCATTCACAAGTGCATTATAAGTTATATTTAAGTAATACGTATATAGTTACTACTACAGTTAGCCTAAAATTTAACATATTCGTCTAAACTAAGGCTAAGCTAGATAATAAACTCAAATGAAAACTGATCATTTTTAAAATAACCCTTTTAAAATTCTAAATAATGACACTACTAGACGTTAACACTTTGATTGTTGATAACAAAGTGGTAATGTTGACGTTTCCTTGCCTTTGATGTCATTTATGTCTGCAGTGCACGTGTTTTACATTTTCTTGCTTAAATATATTGCTATGGGTTAAACAAAAGCAATTAACTGTGAACAAGTTGAATCAGAACACACTGTAGCCTCATTTTCCTTCACCCGTTACCTAAGCTGGACGAGGGTTACAGGTAACGGAAAAATACGTCCAGGTAGAATGGAACTTCCTCCGGATATCCCAATTGGTTCTCGTCGAGAAAAAAACATGTCTCGCAATAAGGAGTACCTTATCAGTCTCAGCGGCCTATATCACGGTCGATTGAGTAAGGCATTGTGCGCACAAGACATTTAGGGTAGAATAAATTCATTTTGCAATCAAATATTGATTTGTGTTTTGTTGTTAGATGACATGGCATTAGCAACGCGGTATTTAAATAGAAAAAAAGAGAGAAACGGCCTTGATGATCAGGGTATGAAAACGTTAGCTATCTTAGTATCGATTTAAATCTTTCTCAGTGACAGAAAACATGTTTCGCAATAAGAAGTACCTTACCAGTCTAAGCGGCCTATATCACGGTCTAGTGTGTAAGGCATTGTGCGACACAAGACATTTAAGGTAGAATAACTTGTAGGAAAAATACATTTCTTGGAACGACATGGCATTGGCAACGCGATATTTAAATAGGAAAAAAAAAGGAGGAACGGCCTTGACGATCAGGGTATATAAAACGTTAGCTATCTCAGTATCCGTTTACATTTTTCTCAGTGACAGAAAACGCAATAGTTTGTACTCGCGTACACTGGCCAATACTTAAATATCAGCAGAATGGGCAAGTCTGTTTTTGTCAAGATATCGTTAGTAGTCCTAGTAATAGGCCTTTTTTTCCACATCATTGGGGTTTCGACGCCAAATTGGAGTACTTATAGTATTTCACTCGTCACTGTGAAATTAGGTTTGTGGAAATACTGTTTTAGCAGCCTTGGAACCACAGTCTGTACGAGTTATGGGGGCATCACTTTAACAGGTAAGTGAACAGCTATATAGATAGCTAACATTTTGGAAAAGGAAACAATGTTGCCAGATGATTTAAAACAAAAATTAATGGTTAACAGTTAGAAAAGTCATTTATTCCTATTATCACATTTATTAATGAGTATGACTTGATAATAGTCCATAGTTCTATTACAACATTTTTGTTTGTTTATGAATTGATAAAATTCCATAATCCTATTTCAACATGTATTTATGATTATGCATTTACGAAAGTCCCTAATTCTATCATCACATTTGTTTATGGTTATGCATTGATACATGTCCATAAATCTATTATCACATTTGTATATGGTTATGCATTGATACATGTCCATAATTCTATTATCACATTTGTATATGGTTATGCATTGATACATGTCCATAATTATTTTATCACATTTGTTTATGGTTATGCATTGAAACATGTCCATAATTATTTTATCACATTTATTTATGGTTATGCATTTACGAAAGTCCATAATTATATTATCATATTTGTTTATTGTTATGCATTGATACATGTCCATAATTCTATTATCACATTTATTTATGGTTATGCATTGAAAATAATCCATAATTCTACAATGATATTATTCATGCTTATTCATTGATAAAAGTCAAAAGTGGTTTAATTGAACACCCAGCGTAGCATTACATCTGATTTGTTGTAACAGTATACACCTGCAATCTATGTAACATACACTAACTTAAACATATGGAAGGATTGACATTCGAGGGGAAGTTTTATCTGACCAACTTTATTTTGGTTTTCTCAGTTCTGAGACTGTAATCGTAGTATCCAACTGATTTATACAGCTAGATCTTATAACATTTCACTGCACTCGTCAAATTATCGACGAAAGCACATACTAAAATAAGATTTAAAAAATAATTCTGCAATTACAACTAGTAAAATATTCCTACAACATTTACAACAATATTATACGGGAAGTCTTCTTTTAGGCTTGCTTTTAGCAGTTATAGACAAGGAGCTATTTTCATATTCAAGTTATTGTTTTTTACCCCATTAATTCATGACAGCTAAATGGTAACAGTTAAATGAAGAATCATTTGTAAAAAGAAATTGACAAATACTTTATTCATAATCTTAAAATTATTAAACGAGATGATATTGAAGATAAGCATGTGATAAAGTAAACATAGATGTGTAAGCATTGTGAAAAATATATGTGCGGATTTATTGAAGATTTGTCTGTCTGTGGAATTTGTTTAACTAAATGCTTTTTTTCCGATTTGTCATATTGGTTTTTGCACTAAATATTCTTATGATAAATATGTAAAATAATGTGTTAGGGCTTAACGGTTTTCTGTTATCATATACAAGTATTAAGTATCCTTGTACGACTGCCAAAATCAGTAACTACATGTAAGTGCTGGAAACTGTTTCCGGAATGACTTTAGCTTTGCTAAATCATTTCTGAAAAGAAACCATACCTTACGAAATAATAAATTTGAAAATGAAACATATAAATAATAACATTGTTCTGACTGTAAACATTAAATCAGCAGTGCTAGACCGGGATTCGAACCCTTGACTTAATACGTATGCACTGCCGCTCTAACCGAATGTGCTACCTTGTTAACAAAAGTGTCCTGGCCAAACTGTGCTTCAGTGATATCCAAACGGGAGATAAGGGTGGGGGGTTACTGTATATAGGAAAAACCAGTGAAGTGGGGGACAGGGATACTTAAGGAAGTTAAGGGGAGGTTACTGTATATAGGGAAAAAACACAGTGCAGTGGGACAGGGATAGAAGATAAGGGGAGGTTACTGTATATAGGAAAAAACAGTGTAGTGGGACACGGAAACTTAAGGAAGTTAAGGGGAGGTTACTGTATATAGGGAAAGAACACAGTGCAGTGGGACAGGGATGGAAGATAAGGGGAGGTTACTGTTTATATGAAAAACCAGTGCAGTAGGACAGGAATACTTAAGGATGTTAAGGGGAGGTTACTGTATATAGGGAAAAACCACAGTACAGTGGGACAGGGATGGAAGATAAGGGAGGTTACTGTATATAGGAAAAACCAGTGTAGTGGAACAGGGATGCAAGATAAGGGGAGGTTACTGTATATAGGAAAAAACAGTGTAGTGGGACACGGAAACTTAAGGAAGTTAAGGGGAGGTTACTGTATATAGGGAAAAAACCACAGTGCAGTGGGACAGGGATGGAAGATAAGGGGAGGTTACTGTATACAGGAAAAACCAGTGTAGTGGGACAGGGATTCTTAAGGAAGTTAAGGGGAGGTTACTGTATATAGGGAAAACACCACAGTGCAGTGGGACAGGGATGGAAGATAATGGGAGGTTAATGTATATAGGAAAAACCAGTGTAGTGGGACAGGGATACTTAAGGAAGTTAAGGGGCGGTTACTGTATATAGGGAAAAACCACAGTGCAGTGGGACAGGGATACTTAAGGAAGTTAAGGGGAGGTTACTGTATATAGGGAAAACCACAGTGCAGTGGGGGACAGGGATACTTAAGGAAGTTAAGGGGAGGTTACTGTATATAGTAAAACCACAGTGCATAGGGACAGGGATGGAAGATAAGGGGAGGTTACTATATATATATGAAAAACCAGTGTAGTGGGACAGTGATCCTTTATACAAACCTCGTCTTTCTTTTGTGTAATATCTGCTAATGCTATTTAAAAAATAAATAAATGACATAGCTTGTATTTGATGTAATGTGATGATTTTATTCATGGTAATTGTAATGTTTGCTTTCAATGTAAGTTTCTTATGTACACAGATGGTGATTGGATCAAGGCTTGTCAAGCTATGGGAATCCTCGGCGTTCTCACAATTATAGCGGCCATCATCCTCAATGTCTTGTGTGTCGCCGTCCTCACCAAACAGGACCACAAAATTGCCTTCATATTAACACCGACCCTGGCGTTCATCGGGGGTAAGCTACCGTATATCATGTATTTTTCGCGAGTAGCTACTTTCACGTTCATATGATGGAATTCGAAACAAAAAGAACGTGAAGTCTTATTGTATACTGCAAAACATCACGCATAAACAAAATTATTTCCGAATATAAGGCTTGGAACAAATTCGCGAAATTCGTAACCAGTATGAACATACTGGTCAGTGTATATAGAATGTTCGGTCTCTCTCTAGATCTTACTTACGTGGTGGCGTTATATGAGGACACCAGTCAGTGTATGCACAATGTTCGGTCTCTCTAGATCATACATACGTGGTTGCGTTATATGAAGACACCTGTCAGTGTATGTACAATGTTCGGTCTCTCTCTAGATCATACATACGTGGTGGCGTTATATGAAGACACTAGTCAGCGAATGCACAATGTTCAATCTCTCTCTGTCCCACACAACCCCACCTGACTTGAATGCTACAGCACAGATACCGCAACATCCACCCAAGACAATTGTTTACTCCTTGGCGTATGCCTGCGTGTGTGCCGGAGATGTAATGTGTTCTGTTTGTAGTGGGACAGTGCTTCCAATGGCATCATTTATAGTGTCACCTCACTTGAATGCTGCCAAGGTGGAGTAAACAATTGTCTTGGGTGGATGTTGCGGTATCTGTGCTGTAGCATTCAAGTCAGGTGGGGTTGTGTAAGCAGGAGAAAAAAACTTTCTCTGAATACCCATGCGTAGGACGACTTCGGGGATCGAACCCCTACTACTTCATTTAACATTTTTATTCTGATGTAATAATTTGCTATATAATCAGTAGTTAAATCATTATCGTGTTAGCAAGCAATTTAAAAAATTGCTTACATTGCGCTTGTTATGCGACGTAGTGACTAAAAGCCAAAAACTGGTCGTCTGCTACGCAAGAATGTCGATGAGCGTGTGTGTATGCAACTTTTAAGAGCTAATGAAAAACGGTATTGATCAATATACAATGAGTGGTTTTTTTTACCCGTAACTTAAATCAACAGCTCCAATTGTCGAAAAAAAACAATCGAAATTTCGACATAAGAACTGGAACGTAGCGATTGTTTTACGTGGACCTAACACTCTTTTGTATTTTCGACAATTTGAGCTGTTGATTAAAGTAAACAAACAAGCATTGTATAATCAGTGACACGAAAAAAAAATTACTTTCAGGATTTTTCCTGCCTGACGATTGACATTATCTTTTCTAAGTATAAAGATTCGAAACCATAGTTCATTTAAATCTTTGGAGTAGATAAAATTACCGTACTTAGAACTGAATAAAATGCTTGATAACTACCCGATAGGGTCCGAGACAACAGGAATTTAAATAAATACCCGATTCATTTTTCCGCTCTTGCATTTTTAACACTGTAGACTAATGTCCCAAGCTCCATGGCTTATTGTATTTATCTGATGTACTGGTATTTGTACAGTGGTTAAACAGATAAAAAAAAAGGTGTTTTTTATACCGGATCCGATAAATCAAGATACAGATACCCATCTTATCTTATCATTTGAGAATAAAGAGGCATTGTGTAATTAAGGTAATGTGTTATTCACACATGCCATGTTGTATACTAACTATTTCTTGCCTTTGTAAAGCAAGTTGTGAATAGTGCCTGGGTTATAGATATATATATTCTTTAGAGTGTTTACCCCGCATACATTGACATCTAGTGAAGTTAAATATCAAATAGGTTTCACGAGAAATCATTGAAAGAGTGCTTTGTCTGAAGAAGTGGCTGAAAATAGACATTAATAACAATACCAAGTATTATATGCTACGGCCAAAGTCAAATATACTTTGTTATCTTTTTATCTTAACCAAAGTATCTTTAGTAAAACCCGGAACAAATACAGTGTATTTGGATAAAGGAAGATCATTTAGATGTTTTTACTTTGAACAAGTGTTCTGTTATCTCCTTTCGTTTCATTGCTTTATTTACTAAAGCTCAACAACTTATGGCAAGTACATATAACACGTAACTACCTAACCCAACACTGGTGAAAATCAATTTAACTTTGAGGAAGATACTAGGACGAAAAACATACATAAATATTTGTATAGGATTCCCACTTATGTTTGACAATATTTAAATACATTCGGCTTCCAGGAATATAAAAAATAAAAGGAAATTATAAAGGTTTTAAAAATACGTTAACATTTAGTCTCGAAGTATTACGTTTTTTAGTGAAACCGCTATCCCCTTTCAAAAAATGTTTTTGACCTGTTCTATTTACAGAAGAGATAAAAGGTGCGGGTATGATGTATACTACTGTCTTTGCATGTCCAAACAAGCTAAAGACTGTGGACTCTTAGATTTATAATAGAACTATTCACCTGTAAAAGTGTTAAAAATTTAAATAGACTGGGTAAATATTTGTGGCACGCTACTTCTAAAAGGAAAATTCTCCTCGCTCAGTAGTGATATTATATTAAAGCATTATTTCAAACTACTTTGTTATAAGTGTACATGTATAATAATAGTTATTTAAGATTCGTTAATAGCGCATTAAATAATACTTTTATGATGTCATCCTTTCATGTCGTCAGATATATACAGGTAGTTAAGTCACACATGTGATTATATTGTTATATACTTCTCACAACTTTACGAAAAATCATGCTGTAAAACTGCAACTGATATCATTATTACATGTCTGTAGGCATATATATATTTGAATGGAAATGTCCTCCGCCATCTTGTACATCACATAGGAATTTTGAATATTTAATTATGTATGTTTGTAACCTATATGCTGTATTGCATTTGGACATAATAAAACTTAAAACTTGAGATGTAAATGTACATGAAGACCCGTCTTATATCGTTAGAATTTACCGCTGTCACCGGTAAGCTTACGCCACAGGAATTGATTTTAGAAAAAAATCTCAAAGCGCTATGTGATTGTTTCACAACATCATACCATTCGAATGGTAAGTAAGTTTATACTATAGTTGCTTTCCGCTATATACAAATTTCTATAAATGAATCGAGTCAGTAAAATGTAATAACCATTAATTGCAGGCGCGCTACAATGATTCTATAGGAATTGTACACAGTAGCCCGGCTACTGCAGGCTTCTTGCAATCTGTCTGGAAAGCTCGACAGTAAATTGTTCTCTGAATTTTTTTCACTACGAAGTTATAGCATCTTCTTTTTGTGGCGAAATGTCAAGTTAAAATTCTCTAAATGCAGGTGTTACGTTATGCTTATAAACTTTCCGGGACTTCGGCACAAAACTCATTGCTTTCTCATCGGCATATTCCTGGCTTGAATAGACTAACTTCTTATCCAGGTATTGTTGAATTTAGTTCCTGGTTTGCCATGCGTGTTGTACAATTAAGTAAATATCAGTCCATAGCCATACATAATAATACAAAGTTTCACCTCTGAAATTTGATAATGAACTATACCAACCTTTGAATTGGGAGAGTTCAAATGTGTCTTCAGGGGTGAATGAGTTAAACTAGTGTTTCTTGTTATCAGTGCCAGAATAAACGTCTGCTACAAGGTTAGGTTCAAATGTCTAGGGATATGAAGTAAGGAATCGTGCACCTATTTGAAGCTAATTTTGCGGATGCAGAAACCCAATGTTAACATACATGTATTTATTTTTGTAATACATGAAAAAGAAATGCAAATCAATGTTACTGAAAATGTAAAAAAACAAACTACTCTTAGCTGGATACAGTCCTTAAAAGAATGAGAATTTGTTTTTAATGGTTTTGGACCAGTTACACTAATTTACGTTCAGCTAACTCCTGTATTAAGTCATAAAGAATCGAAGGCTCTGAGTACGCCACCTTACGGATGAAAACAGAGCAAAATTCGAGATATTTGATCCTTTGATGTCCATCACATGAATCGCGTAGCCACATAACGGTAAAATTAGCTGGTTTTGAAGTGGGGTGTTGTTCCTTTGTGGTCGTCAAAGGACAGGTACCAGACGAGCGGTTGGTCAGTGTCTTTTTTTATACCAGAAACCAATTAAAAGCGCTGACTTTATTCTTCATTTTGTCACGACATATTCCAGGGGGTGCATAGAACGACAATGCGAGAAGGGTTTTAAACAATCTCATGACCTACACCCTCACCATCATATTCACACTGGAGAGAGACTATGAAGCCCCTTGCATTTCGAGGATGGTTTGGGACCAACATTTCAGTTCTCTTTGTGTGTGAACTGATATTATTTCACATATATTGGTATTTCCAATATCACTTCAAAATTACCGATGAAATTATAGTCCAAACAATTTTATGTTACGATGTATTTTTTATTTATCAATTATAGACCTTTGGTGAGGTGAATAGGTGGTTATATGGACCAGAGAAAGTGATATTAACCGGGACGCAGACTGGCAGGGAACATTGTGATTATGATGTAGATCTAATATTTCTTGTTTCGAAATTTTCATTTATCCATTTCTAGATTTCTAGATATCATTAGACCTCCAAGTACATGTGATCGAGCTAACATTCGCAAATAATTAAATAAGAGAGAAAACCTAGATTTTCTTTTGTTCCAGTATCCTGCGATCTGCAAGGACATTTGCTAACTTAGATCAAATATTATCAATTTGTGTACAGTGTTATTAATGGAGGCACGGTAGTCTAGTGGTAGAACGCCGGGCTCGTGACCGAAGGGTTGCGGGGTTCGAGTCACGGCACGACACTCTGTTGTATCTTTGAGCAAGATACTTTACTCCGCTTGTTCCAGTCTAGTCAGCTGTAATTTGTTGAATGCTAGCTGTGATCGCAAAATGGCAGTACCGACTGTATGCTCCTCAGGGAGTTGAGAAAGATAGTGTCTGGTTACAAAGGCCCTATAACCATAATTTGTGAACCGCTTTGAGACGACATACGACCTAGGTTGTGATAAAGCGGTATATAAGACCTCGAATTATAAATTATTATTATCAATGTGTATAGAGTGTAAATAAAATAATATTCTAATATAATCTGGTTCTCTTGCAGCTGGCTGTATCTTCATCGCAAACATGGTTTGGGGTGCAAAGATCTCTGATTGGTCTTTCATCATTGCAAGCGCCAACGACTTGGCACTTGGTTGGTCCTTCGCACTCTCCTTGGTTGGCGGGCTCTTCGCTGTAGCTGGCGGTGTTCTGTTTGGAGTTGGCTTCACCAAAGGGTAGATCAACAAAAACCTGTCTGCGCAGAACTGATGAAAATCGTCCCTTGACAAGAATTCTTTTTATATTATTTTTAAGTTTCTGCAGTAGAATTTTAACAACATTTTATCATTTTAACTCTAAGACATATAATGATATCAACAATTGAATGTACGAATGAACGATAAGCGCAACCGGAACATCCTATCAAGTCGTTTACATGTGAGCATGTGTCATGTTTACATTGGGAGTATCGTTCAAGAAATTTCATTTTATTAAAAACTATATTTAAACATTGTTACGCTTGATAGTATTTGTTTTTTTAATAAATCATCGTTTAAACTAATAATTTTATAGATTATGCTTAGTTGCTTTATTGACACTTGCCTTAACTTTTATACCAGGTTTAGACATTGTAGATTTATATAAAGTAAATATTTATTATCTTTGTGATTTGTATATATATTTATGTGTAAAAAAATTTGGAAAAATACTTCAAAATGTACAAGTAAAGAACATGAATTGACTCAATATCATTTTCTGAAAATGATCTAAAAACATACATATAATCCAAACCCTCCATCTTAAAGATAATTAAAATTTTACGTGTGACAACAAGCGTTGTTTTTATTTACTACCATATATACCGACATGAACGCACCAGTTTTTGGCGACTGGGTCCATTAACATCTTGTAAATGTATACATTATTTTACATTAAGCTGACATCTGCAGAAAACATGACTCACCACCAGAGTACGCATAAAGCGCTGCATCAGGAATAACTTTATAATTTCGGAGAGGTTCATTAGATGTTTTTTTATCCTACCTGTAATATTTCTTTTTCTGATTTGTTTTCCTTGTTGATATAACTAACAGTGAACAGAAAATAATAACTGTCTGTCTGTCTGGCTGGCTGGCTCTCTGTCCGTCTTCCTGATAAAATTGTCAAGTCTTTGTTTGATCGCGTTTCAACCTAACACAGTGATAAAACCATTATTGATGCATACGTTTTATGTCCATTAATTCTGTAATCTTGTTTTAAATGTTGAGATTCGACATTAAGTAACACCCGACATAACAGTGACGATCACATAGTATGGATCTAGGCGTCTAGTTTAGTAATTTCGTGTGCAAAGTGTAGCCAACAACAGTCATCTGCATAATGTAAAAAAAGACCTCATGCCGGAAGTCGGTCATGTTTCGAGGACGATTATTGAAAATACTTTTGAAAAACAAGCTATTCAATGTGGAAATTTCTCAGAAGGACAATTACATAATTATATTTACACAAATAGTTCAATATTTTTTTTCGAAATTTTCCATTAAGTCAATCAGATTTAAAGGGAATTGGGCAACAGACAAAGTCTACACACACCCTCTCCCTGCAACGGACAATGAACATGGTTTAACTTTGAAAGCAATTTTAGCATAATAGAAGATTTGTTTTTTAAAGATATTTCTGTATTTAACTAAATGATGTTCCAAATAAAAAGGTTTAAACCGTTAATATTTGTAATCGTTTGTAAGGAAATAACAGTGACAAAAAAATGTGCTGAGTGAGGCATTTTGCAATATGCACTTTCAATCGACACAAAAGACTTGTTAACAAAAAATGTGTATGTGAATGTACCAGATATTACGTTACACAAGCATTTGGAGTCATGTGTAAAATATACAATACATTTATCAATCATCTCATTGAGCTTTTCATTTTTCGTTTGAAGGTATTGTGACGTAATTGGCACGGGACTTTAGGCGGGTTTTTTTAAGATAATCGACCGGAAGTACATAGCAGACGATATCCGTTTTTCAGTTTCGATATTGATATTGACATGTATTTGATACGAACCGTTGTGTCTACATACAGTATAATACACAAAAAAAATCTCCATTCCTAAGAACCTATCAGGATTTGTTTTATCAACAGAGGCCGGGCGAAAATGATATTGGACTAAACCAAAAATATTCATATTAAGCGGCAACCAAGAATTTCGAAACGAATAACATGTCCATCAAACTTTGATCAGAACAAAGTTCACGTGTATTTTAATATATTTATTCTACGTGTTGTACTTTATACGCGAGAGCAGAAAAATCGGAACTCTTTTTAAAGACATTTCAATATTTCCTGTTCTGTCTCAGGAACACCATGTTTTCATTATAATGAAACAACAGATGTCTTAAACTTTCATTTTATATTTTGATTGGGTTTATCCGGCGTGTGTGTCTATTGATATGGTTCATTTAGTCGAGTCAGCCTCACTTGGAAAGTTCAGCTTGCCGTGTACCCATAATAGAACATCATAATTTCAGTCATTTAGGCAAACATTATGTTTGCATGTACAGTTAGGGATTTCTGCGTAAAACGGTGTAAAAGTTAGGTTTTGGAGAAGCAAAATTTTATAGATTGACATTTAACAATGTAGATGTGCGTACGGATGGACGTATCATACCAAATACAACGAGCGTATCATTGAACATAGACAAAAAAAGACCCTTCATGATTGTCAACAGAATCAAAATACAGGTGTGGTACAAAGAATCATAGAAGACAAGCTTCTGTATTTTTGAAGAATCAGATCCAAAATTCACACTTTAGTACATGACGAGGGCCAAGAAAATAAGTAAGATAACGTATTATTGGAAATGTATTTATCATTTATCACCTCCGCTCTTGCATAATATACAGTTCGCATATGCCTAAGGCATGGTATTACTGAACAAGGGATAAGCATTGCTGACACGGTGTCTAAGCAATCGAGCTTTACAGAGTTTAACGTATAATTGTGACGGACGCATTATTCAAATGCTACTTTTTGAAATGACAAAATGGTGTTTGCAGATTCCCTCATTAAATAATTTGAAAAAAGACATAATATAAGTATATAGTATAAGTTGCTCTTGCACGATTCTCTGTTGTTGTTAAAGATAAACAGATTTTTTTTTCAATTTGAATATCAGGACATTATTACGCTATATGTATTTTATGTGATAACAAAAAATGCTCTCCAATTCAAAACTCAAATGCAAAACATTTGTATGATATCGTTTGTGATAATATCAGGATATTATAAACGTGTTATGCCAAGGATGAGTGTCTATAAGGCCCTTTTTGGGCCCTGGTATATTCGGATATTGCCCTACTTAATTTGTTCCAAGATGTCCAATTGTAATACATGCACAAAACTAAGGTAAAAGTTTGACCGAAAGTGAGTTGTTGGGGGTACCAAAAGGGGTAGGGTAAATCACAAATATAATTTGCTGTTTTCAAAATGAGCTTAAAAACCAAAATAGTTCCATTTCCGTTTTTGAAAACATTGGTAACCGATCCCGCATATACAAAAGAATGAAAAATGACGGAAATTCAATCGTCACTTAAAATCGTTCATAACAAGACAGAGGATTGCTTTTAGGTAATTTTCAAATGAAAAGTGTTCTGTTTTCTCAATTATTTCCTTTATTAAGTAATTCGTATTTTGAGTTGAAATTTACAACTTTACTCACTTGAGTACACCTACATAAAATGCATATTAACTACACACTTTCCTTTTGTTTTATACTGAGTTATCGCTTCTCAAACTTGGCAATGTCAAAAACCTCTCTATCTTAAGTAAATTAAAAGTTTCAAGACGCCCTTTATATGCTAAAAGTATATGATAGTAAAGCTATTTCTCGCAATCACATTAGCCGGATCCTATACATGTGACCTACACACGAAAACTTTATTATGAACTCTTAGTCGTCGTCGTGTAGAGGTTTTACTAGCAAAACACGTGCAAAATGCGACACGGGCAGGGATTGTGCATTAGAGATTTCAATTGGTCGTATTTTAGAACTATTTCCACTTTTCTTAGATAACTTTTATCTTTGATGTGTTCCATTACAATTTTATTTATCTGATCTGATACACAATGTTGGTAAAAAAACGTACGTGACAGTGTTCTATATATATATATAAAAGTAGTGTCACCTTGTGCACATATTGAACAAATGATAACCGGTGTGACGGGTATTACTTTTTTTATACCCAGCGAGACCAATACTCGTTACCAAGCAAGGGCAACCTAACATTTCGGCACTTAGAAAGGGTAGAAGGAGGAGATAGGGAAGATTTCTAAACCAGAAAAACAAACTATTTTTTTATATTTATTTTTCAAAATCTCAATTGAAAGCATTTTTTAACTTGCACTGTCAGCTTGAAGGCAAAGAACCTTGACGATGTCTTCGAAAGCTACGATGCCGAACTGTTAGATGCAACCCTTGCTAAATTTTACAGGGAGGCTTGTTCCAGAACTATACAAAATGGGATTGTTTAAGCATATAATAAATCAGTTCATATCGTTTTTTCAGGTTCATATCACATCATATTCACCAGCACAAAAGTCCATAATTGTATGATATTGTTGATCATGTATATCAAATAATATATGTTCAGCACCTGTGGCTGAAGTGAGTTTCAGGTCCTGATTTGTTTTCTTACTTATAAAAGTTAACTTACAAATAAAAAAATGCCACCTGTCACCACAACTACAGTAAAATGAGTACTTTAATATATTAAGATTGATTTACTGGTAATTATCAGCTCCTAGCTTCAAGGAAATTATCAGTTTTAATCGTTTAAGCTAACCCTATCATTGTATTATCAATTGTTGTGACTATTTCCAATGATTATGCGCTGATTGTACATAAAGACATTTTGAAATAAGCACGCAACTTGGCATAGATATTGGTTATATAATGATTTTTAAGTTGTGAAAGTTTACTTACAAACACATTTTCGTTTGTTTTGGAATACTCTGAATAATGCGCACTCTCACTCACTCATACTCCCACTATCTCCCGTGTTGATGAAAGTGTAGTATTTGTACACGTAACAAACTACAGTCGCTTCATCACAAAAACTAAGTTAAAAGGCCAATTAAGGGTTAGGGAAGCTTTGATTACACATCAGCACACAGTTTGGCACTTCCGTGTTTGAAATTATAAACATTTAAAACATATGTTTTAAAATGTAAAAGAAAAACTTAGGTAACTCTTTATTGTTTAATTCTATATCAGGTAGACCAATTACAGTTAATCCCTCCCGACTACCGCTACTAATCCCTGTAATTATCGCTACCAGTACTACTCCGATAGTCTACCCAATGTTAGGAAAAGTTAAAAATGTTAAGTATTGGATTAAATAACAACGTTCTGATAAATGTGGGCTGAAAGCTTGTTATGATAATATGGTTGAAATAAATCCCCCCGGATCCTTAACTTAAAACATGATCTTTCAAGAGTCGGCCTTGGATACATGTTTGTGACTGATAGTAATTATCATTCTAGTTAAGTATGTAAGCAGCTAAAATGTGATAGTTTACAACAAGATTGTCTAGAGAAGGTTCCTTCTTCTTCTAAAGAAGTATTAAATCAGCATTAAGTGGAAAGTATTAAGTTGACTTGATCTCCTAAAATGCATTATTTTATTAATGAAGTACGTTTTATAGACTGCATAGTCTATGTGTAAATGAAATGTTATGCCCAATCACTTTTCACTTTAACACCACCAAAATGTGTACCGTGTGTAATATGTAATACTATTTATACAATGTGTACATGAGACTGTAGCACGATCTTTTCCTGTCT